TTCTTCTTCTCCTTCTTCTTCTTCTTCTTCTTCTTCTCCTTCTTCTTCTCCTTCTTCTTCTTCTTCTTCTCCTTCTTCTTCTTCTTCTTCTTCTTCTCCTCCTTCTTCTTCTGGACCCGTCCCTCACACTCTCACGTTGGTTGTTTTCAGACCGTTGAGGTTGAATCACAGTTTTCATTTGCGATCGTCTGAGTTTGCAGAAAAAAGTCAACATTTGGCCACACCCACATTCAGACGCTCCCTTTCTCACCCCTCCTGTCTGCGAGGCTACGGTGGCCTTTGAGGACAAGAAGTCTGATCCTCCATCCGTCAGAAACTACGAAGAAGAACCGCCGTCGTCTTCTGGGTGGATCCAAAAGCACACCTGTTACCTTTTTGTCCTTCCTGTGTTACCATGACCACCGGGAACTCCTGCAGAGCGACACGCTGAGTATGGCGAGCTCAGGACGGCGTCGGCAGCTTGAGTGTGGCGTGAACATGAAAGTATAAAGTGGGCCCTGAGGATGACGGTAATTTTCTGTTTTCTACTGAGAACGATGAAACAAACATGAGGGGCCCCCGGAGGCTGAGGGGCCCCTCAGAGGGTCTCACACAGACCCTGACCCTGAGGTTGTTGTTTCCGTTGAACCAGGTCTTCACTTTGAGCTGAACTTGACCCCCCCCCCTCTTCTTCTTCTACTCCTTTATTAACCGCCGTCATTAAAAGGATCATTTCCTCTCATCTGCTGAGTCCAGACGAGTCCGTGAGCGCCTCCTGTGAAGGTCAGCGGACTCAAACCTGGACCCCCGCCCCCCCTGGTCGGTGTAAGGACCATTACCTGAGTCCCATTAAAACCGTGGCTTTGTCCCAAATCCTCGTAAAGACCCCTCAGCCCCCCGCCCCCCGGTCCAGACGCTCAGAGCCCACAGACCATCTCTGATTTTAACGGCTGCAGAATGATTTTCTCGTCTTTAATTATTATTCTTTAATTTCTCTGACATCATCAGGACCGCTCCAACCTGAGGCTGAGGGGGCTTTTGTAGACCCTCCTCCATCGTCCAGATCTACGTCACAAAATCCATCAGTTTCCTTCACGACATACGACAAAGGAAGAACGACACACGACACACAAATTTTTATTTATGAACCTACAGAAACACTCTTTCCTCTTTCGTGAACATCACTCTCAAATTTATCTCCCCCTAATTTTCTAACTGTCACTCAAGGCGGGAAAGCTACGTAGTAGACATAGCAACAGTAACCAAGGGGGGCGGGGGCAGTGAGGCGGGTCTTAGCGAAGGGTTACCGTATTTTTCGTACTATAAGGCGCTCTTAAAATCCTTTTGTCCTGTCGGAGCGCTGCAGCTGTCGTAACCTCGAGGAGTTATTAACCGAGTTAAAGTTTGACTTATCTGTTCGGATTAATGCGCTTTATGATCCAGAGCGCCTCATGGAGGAAAAGAGACGTGAACAGACACGCTGATCAATGGTGAATAAGCCTTAGAATCAGCTGCTCCTCATAGTGTGAAATATACAGTAATTTGGATCAATCAGCAGCTACAAACGTGCGTGTGACGAGATGGACAGAAAAACTGACGAGTAACAAAACAACGCCACTTTTCCAACGCATTGATAGACCCTGAACTCGTTAGGACCCTGAACTCGTTAGGACCCTGAACTCGTTAGGACCCTGGACTCGTTAGGACCCTGAACCCGTTAGGACCCTGAACCCGTGAGGACCCTGAACTCGTTAGGACCCTGAACTCAGTCGGCCCCCAGGTAAACCCGTGCTTTAAAGCGGCCCTGGACTTGACGGACAAAGATCACTTCAGGAGGGTCAGCGGACAACGAAGTTCAGAACCAGGTCCGACTCTGAGTGATGGATCAGATTTTTATGGACATGTTGAGTCCAGACTTTGACTCTGTGTTTCATGGACACATGCGTGAGGTCAGGTCCACTCAGTGGGACAGGGTTAGGGTGTCCCTCACAGACAGGACTGATCTGAGTCTCACAGATCTGCAGACATGTTTCTACGGCAACTCAGAGAGGACAAACTCACATCCTTAAATCTGATTCACAAACTGCAGCAGCTGGAGAGGAGGACAGGAGACAGGACGTCCTCTCTGCAGAGGACAGGACGACCTCTCTGAAGAGGACAGGAGACAGGACGTCCTCTCTGAAGAGGACAGGAGACAGGACAACCTCTCTGAAGAGGACAGGAGACAGGACATCCTCTCTGAAGAGGACAGGAGACAGGACGACCTCTCTGAAGAGGACAGGACGTCCTCTCTGAAGAGGACAGGACGTCCCCTCTCAAGAGGACAGGAGACAGGACGTCCTCTCTGAAGAGGACAGGAGACAGGATGTCCCCTCTGCAGAGGACAGTCCAGCAGGTGTGAGAACTGAGGACCATCGGTCAGGTCGTCTGTCGTGTCTGCTCGTTAAGTTCAGGACTTCAGGTGGATCTGCAGGTGATGGACCGGGGTCCACAGCTTTAGGAGGGTCCATAATGAAGGAGCTGAAACTGGACCCTCACTCAGACCTGAGTGATTATTCTGTTAAAGGGACATTTCAGTGTTTTTGTCCTGAGACTGTCTGAGTCACCTGTCTTCAGGTCTCTGTTAGCTCCGCCCCTTCAATGAGGAACTGCCGGGAGAACCTGAAACTGAGCTGGACCAGGGTTCTCCGCAGAGTCCTGCTCAGGAACCTTTCAGCACCATCAAAACCTGAAGGAGACGAAAATCAGGGATCAGTTTTTCCAACATGCTCCTGAGGAGGAGCAGGAGGAGGAGGAGGAGGAGGAGCAGGAGGAGGAGGAGAAGGAGGAGGAGGAGTAATGATTCCTGTTTGTGAGATCATCTCACTCCGACATGAAGATGATTTTAATGAAACTCAGACCGCTGAGAGACGAGAAGACGAGAGGTTTTCAGGAGTGGTGTGTGTGTGTGTGTGTGTGTGTGTGTGTGTGTGTGTGTGTGTGTATGTGACTTCAAAACCTTGAAGCGAGCACACACACACACACACACACACACACACACACACACGTCCTCCATGTTGTTCAGATGATCAGCTTCTAAAGAAGGATCACACACACCTCCACAAGGTCTGAAAGCTGCTCCTCCGCCCGTGTGTGTGTGTGTGTGTGTGTGTGTGTGTGTGTGTGTGTGTGTGTGTGTGTGTGTGTGTGTGTGTGTGTGTGTGTGTGTACTGGGAGCGGTGGGAGACGGCGGTGGGGGGATGGGGGGGTGACAGAGAGGAAACTGCCTCTTGTCTTTTCCAGTTTGGGGCGTCCAGATGGGAAGTGATTTTTTATTCGTCTTGCGGCGGCTCTTCACATCTGTCGGCCCAGATGCCTAATGAATACGGGAGCAGGCCGTGCTGTCGCCTCATTAATACTGCACTCGCACGGGGAGCCCGACCGGCCCGGCTGCGTCGTACTGCCGCCGCCCACCGCGTCCCGGCGCGGCACCGGAGCAGAACGCGGCTCTGCGGCGGCGTCCTCGGGGCCCGGCGCCGGCAGCTGGCGCCTCACAGGAACAAAGCTGCGGCACGCTGTCGGCCTAATGCCTCTCTGTGTTGTCACTTAAGGTCTTTATTGGTATTAATTGATACGATCGGAGCAACTTCACTCCCCAAATCCCCAAAACATCACCTCACACCCCCCCGGCCTCCTCCGCTCGCTCTGAAGCCTCAAACAGGTGGACGGCTAAAGGCAAAGAGGCCCCGCCCACTGCTGCAGGTAACACAGCTCAGACACATTCAGTATTCATGTCTCTGCGCCTCACACTCACAGGAGGAACTTTTTACTCTCATCACTTTAAGGATTCGAGAACGAACCTGCAGACGGAGCAGAGGGCGAAATAACCCACAGAGACCAGGACAGGATCTTTCAAAGGTTTTCAAAGTTCCAGGTCCTAAAAACCTGACCCACTGTTTCTCTCTGGGCCTCAGTCATCTGAGAACAAACCTCCTCTGAACTTTTGAGGAGGACTTCAGGTTCCCCTAAAGTCAAAAACAGGAGGGGGACTACACGAGTCCAAACTGTGACCCTGAAAAACACGGAGAGAGGACTTGGAGGAACAGACGGACTCCTGTCAGTCATTGGAGGAAAATGTTTGAAGTCCTTCTAAGAACTTTAAACCTAAAAATCCTCCACAGTCAAGGTTCAGTGGAGAAGAACATCTGGATCTTCAGGGTGAAAACTGGATCATGATCTGATTAAAGAGTCAACAGGAAAGTTCAGAGCAGAGACAAAGGAACAACAGCTCCATGTAGACATGGAGGTAGATGAACAACATTTTCACTCATTTAGACAACTGAAGGTCCTCACACACCGGGGCCGACGCCAGTATAGAACACAAAAGTACAAAATATTCAGAGGTGAATTTTGACGCTCCTGACTTTAAACATCAAGCCTGCTGTGATTTTACGACTTCCTGGGGGGGGGAAGACGAATCCTCGGGGAAAGTCCCGCCTCCTTCGCCTCTGATTGGCTAGAAAAACTGGAAACGTCATCACACACTCAAGCCAAACGGTCAGCACTCATAGCCAATCAGAGGCAAAGGAGGGCGGGACCTTCCCTTACCTACAGCGTCCCAGGTGGAAGCGAGAAGACTAAAGTGGAGTCTACTTCAACTTGAAGTGAAGGTGAGTTGGTCGTCCTTTAGTTTTCTCTAAAGAAAAAGAAACGAGCTCAGGAGGATCAATATTAGACCAAAGAAGAGAACTTTTCTCTGCTCGGTTCAGGAGCTGAAACTGGACCACGGTCACTTCAGAACCTGTTTTCAGATCTCTGTTAGACAATCTGAAGTTCTGCTGAAACAATGAGCTCCAAGTTTGAAGAGGCAGAGGACTAGACTCTGGTGTTGAGATGTCTGTCATGATAGCATGTACTGAGTCGGGTCAGTACCAGATAAACACATGTAACCATGGTAACAACCGTTAGCTTACGTTAGCACAGATGAAAGTTCAAACAAAGACGTTTATCAAACTGTTAAAGCTCACAAACCATCGTCAAAAATCACTCTGTTCTCCGACACGGAAACAATCAGCCGGTCGGCCATGTTGGATATACCGGTGAATCTGACGTCACAACAACACGCAATCTGATTGGTCAGAAGTGGACACACAGTCTGAGAAACTTTAGAAAAATCGACCGTGATCAGAAAAATAAATGCTGCAATATCGCAGGACAGGAAAACTGATGTGAACGCTTGTATTGACAAAAATATTGATGTCTGAAATAATCGCAGGACAAAAACGTTCCCGGTGTGAAAGGAGTGAAAACAGAGCTGTGCGCTGAAGACGGACTAAATGACGTTTTTAGGTCACAGTCGTGTTTGTCTCTGAAAAAGAGAACCTTCTAACACAGTAAACCTTGTTTTGCACCTCAGGGCCACCGTACACCAGGACCCCTCTGAGACCTGAATCAGGTGGACTCCTGCTGAGTCCGTCTGTGGGGGTAAAACCAGGACCAGGGTCCAACAGAGAGGATCAGAGTCGGTGAAACCAGATCATCCTTGGCCCTGACCCCACCCTCTGCAGCTCCTTCACACCATCAGGATCCAGACTGAAGCTTCTTCCTGGATTTGGAATCAGGGTCTCTCTGATTGGTCGGTTCTCACAGCCAATCACAGCAGGTTCAACGTTTTTCTTTCTTTAGTTTCTTCATAAAAACCTTAAAACTGTCATGATCATTATTATCACCGCACTCACACGTGTTTCTGATTCTTCATAAATCTGTCCTCACCTGAACAAAAACACCGAATCTTTTTCCTCATTTACACTGAATGTCTTAATTCTTCCTCCTCCTCGTCTCCTCTCCCCCTCCTCCTCCTCTTGACTTAAACTGCACATGACGTTGGTAACCTGAGCAGATTTGTTGTGTCACACAGAAGTATCTCCTCCTAGAAAATAGTTCCTCTCAGAGCCCCACTTCAGTGTGACACACAACAAATCAGTAAACGCTAACGTTAGCCTCCGTGGTTATTTATGATTTCATAGCTACGCTTTGTGACGCAGCGTGTAAAATTTAGTGCATGACTATCAGGACGAACATCTACCCGCCCCGTGGCGTGTAGCCTTCCAAAATAAAGTCGGCATGTTTTAGTATTTTAGTCGCATTTGGTGAGTGGCGACCGGCCAGCCAACAGCACTGCTCCAAGGTAAGTCTCCTCGTTAAGTCTCCTAGGAAAGTCTCCTAGGAAAGTGTCCTAGGTAAGTCTCCTCGTTAAGTCTCCTAGGTAAGTCTCCTCGTTAAGTCTCCTAGGAAAGTGTCCTAGGTAAGTCTCCTCTGTGTGATATCTGCTCTCAGCTTTAAAGACAGGCTGAGTGACAGGATGAGAGTGAGGCGGTGAGTGGATGAGAGTGAGGAGGTGACAGGATGAGAGTGAGGAGGTGAGAGGATGAGAGTGAGGCAGTGAGAGGATGAGAGTGAGAGGATGAGAGTGAGGAGGTGACAGGATGAGATTGAGGAGGTGAGAGGATGAGAGTGAGGCGGTGAGAGGATGAGAGTGAGGCGGTGAGAGGATGAGGTTTCAGCTGCACATGAATCAAAGAGACGATGATCTGCTGAGATCTCACAGGATGAACTTGAACGAGGACGCTGATCTTCAGACGAACATCAGGAGGACACATGGAAGTGTCTTTAAAAAGACCCTGGTCTGAATAATGCAGGGCTGTTATCGTCAGAGTCAAACATGACAGGAAGTATCATGTTTAAATCAAGATCTCAGGATCACTTCAGGGTCAGAGCCAAACACCGAGGACTCTCCTGAGAGATCCTCATGTTTTCATCACTGGTTCAACTTCAGTGTCTCTCTCTCTCTTTACTTTCTCGTGTTTTGTGTCACGTTTTTTTCTTCTTCTGTGGTTTGGACTTCCTTCAGCAGCTCCAGGTGTTTGTCGGCGTTTGGTTTTTTTTTCTGACTGACTCTCGGATTAAAAAATTCCCCCAAACTAATCCAACGTTCACCTCCAAGTTCTCCCTAAACTGTGACATGTTTCAGCGCCGAGGTGTTTCCTCTCATTTCAGCAGCTGCCCTGTTTTAATATTCATGTTGGGGGGGTGAGGGTGAGGGTGGGGGAGGGGGTGAGGCGGTGTGGGAGCTGAAGGGCAGCTCTCTGGCAGCTGCTCGGCGGTGCGTTTGTCGGGCGTCGGTGTGTTGGAGGAAAAGGTCACCTTACCTGCAGACGGACCTGCGGCGCTCTCACAGGTGGCTCCGCCTGCTGCTCCAGATGTTTGTTTGTCCTCTTTAGCTTCCCGTAGACGTGGAGCGTGTCGACACGCCGTGACCTCAGCAGGAGGGAGAGGTCTGATCTTCAGCTCCAAACACATGTTCCTCAAACGTCCTCTTTTACTCTCCCTCAACTTTTCTGCTCAGTGTTTCTGCACTTTTTTAAACCCCAGAGTTTCACTGATGATCTGAACAGGAAGTACGCAGGAAAAAGACAAAATAAGAGCGTGGCCCTAAATCTAAAAAAGGGCCTGGGCTGTTTTTTTTTTTTTAATTTCCATATTTAAAGGTGAAGTAGACAGGAATCTGTTAAAGAAGCATCTTTTTATTTTGTGGTTTTACAAAAAATCTTCTAATATCAGTCAATAGTTATTAGTTATTGATTATTTGGTAATATATCGATATCTCTGTGTTCTCTTATGTCTGTGTCGTCAACATTTGAACATTTTTGAGCGGTCCGCTCTTTCTGACTGTAAACAAAGCCGTTCTCCACCTCCTCTAACCTGATTGGTTGTGAGGCGGACGCTGCTCCCCCGTGTCGTTCAGGAGCCCAAACAAAGTTAGCGTGCTACAATATCGGACAGTAGAAACCAACCAGAAAGTTCGGAAAATTGTCTGAATCCTCCTTTGGCCACGACTGCCGACACAAGCAAGAAAACAAAGTAAATACCGGAGACTCTGGAGGAATAACGGGCGCTTAAAACGGAGGTAGACCGGACAAGAGCTAAAAAGCCGGGTCAACATAAACCATGGGGGACACTTGGGGATCTTGGTGACCCTGTAACCTTTCTGCTGGACAGGTAAACCGCTTTAACAAAGTAAGACAAGTGTCTGTAACAGAAGTGTTTCTTGTCAAACGGACCTGCTGTAGCGTGTTGTAGCGCCATCGCTAAACTGTCCTCCCTCGGGTCCTGGACTATGTCACTTTATCCTCGTTGTAGAAGTCCTGCAAACATTGTGTTTGCTGGTAGTCTGTTGGCATCTACAGTAGCACCAATGCTTTTGACTTTCACCTTGACTGGGCCCCATTTGTAATGATCTGAAGTATTTATCTGCTTTATATCTGAATTTAACTGGAACGATACGAGCGAGCAGGAGCGTCTGTTTGTGGGCGGGGCTTGAGGGGAGAGGAGGAGCTGAGGGGAAAACTGTTGGGAGGGGTAGAGTTTATATTCAAGATTTCTCCTAAAAACTGGAACTAACTCAGATCCTCAGAAACTTCCTACATCTGAATGAAACCAAAACGGAGGCTATATTATTTGGCTGTAACCCATCTGACTTCCCAGCCAATTATCTAGGCCCTCTCATACAGAATGTCCTTGCATTGGTAAAGAACCTTGGCGTGACCTTTGACAGTAATTTTAAACTCGACAAGCAAGTCAACTCTGTGGTTAAAAATAGCTTTTATCAACTGAGAACTCTGTCTAAGGTAAAGGGTTACCTCTCTCGAAGAGACTTAGAGACAGTTATACATGCTTTAATCAATTCAAGATTAGATTACTGCAACTCCCTGTATGTTGGCTTGGATCAAAACCTGCTCCATCGACTTCAGCTGGTGCAAAATGCAGCTGCCCGCCTCCTTACTGGGAAACGTAAAAGAGAACATATATAACCCCTGTGCTTGCTTCTCTCCACTGGCTCCCAGTCTCTTTTAGAATAAATTTTAAGATTTTATTGTTTGTTTTTAAAGCTCTTAATGGACTGGCCCCCGGGTATTTGTCCGAGCTCTTACACATTCATGCCCCCGCTAGGGCACTGAGATCTGCCAATCAGCGGCTATTGGTCGTCCCGAAGACTCGCCTAAAGAGTAAAGGTGACCGAACCTTTGGGGCGGCTGCTCCAAGGCTCTGGAACAGCCTGCCGTTCAGCCGAGTCGATAGAGGTTTTTAAATCCTCTTTAAAAACACACTTTTTCTCCCTAGCTTTTACCTAGCTCTTGATTGGTATTTTATATTTGTTTTTATTTATGGTGTATTTGTAACTCAATTTTACTTTGCTGTATTTTAATCTTGTATTCTGTGTTTTTTTATCATATTGTTTACTGTCTGTTTTATGTATTTTGCTGTGCCTTATTGACCTGTACAGCACTTTGGTCAGCTTCGGTTGTTTTTAAAGTACTCTATAAATAAAGTTTGAGTTGAGTTGAGGTGAGGTGAATAAATGTTGGTTCAGTTGATCTTCAGGACGGCTGCAGCTTTAAGAACTTCTGCTTGTTGGAGTTTGAGAGTCTAAAGTTCACAGTGACACTCCTCTTCCTGGATTGTAAACAAGCTGGATCCCCCCCCCGTCTCTCTCAGCTCACTCCACTCTGCACTCTCACTTCCTTGTTCCCTCCTCTTCCTTCCTCCCTCCCCTTCACTTCTACAGCCTAAAGGTTGGGTGTAACCTCCGTGTGCTGAGCTGATCCTGCTGACTCACATGTTGTTGAGATAAGAGCTCAGACTAGTTTGACTTCTCAGGAAATAAAACTCAGTCAGTCGTCGTCAACAGCGAGTGTTGAAATGGCGCAGAAAGGAGTTCATCTGGACCGTGAGTCTTTCTCTTGTTCCATCTGTTTGGATCTTCTGAAGGATCCGGTGGCTGTTTCCTGTGGACACAGCTTCTGCATGAGCTGTATTCAATCCTACTGGGATAAAGAGGATGAGAAGAAGATCTACAGCTGTCCTCAGTGCAGAGAGACCTTCAGACCGAGGCCTGTCCTGAAGAAAAACATCATGTTAGCAGGTTTAGTGGAGGAACTGAAGAAGAGTGGACTCCAAGCTGCTCCTGATGGTTCCTCTGAGGCTGGACCTGTCTCACAGGCAGTGACTGATGTGGATGTTTTACTGGTAGAACCAGAACCCAAGACCAGAGCTGATTTCTTAAAATATTCACGAAGAATCACACTGGATCCAAACACGGCAAACAGATGGCTGTTATTATCTGATGGAAACAGAAGAGCAACAATGACAACACAACTTCAGTCTTATCCTGATCATCCAGACAGATTCACTTTTTGGATTCAGGTCCTGAGTAGAGAGAGTCTGACTGGACGTTGTTACTGGGAGGTGGAGCGGAGAAGGGGCGGGGTTTGGGTAGCAGTCGCATACAAGACTATCAGGAGAGACGGAGACTCAAAGTATTGTATATTTGGAGGAAATGACAAATCTTGGAGGTTAGAGTGTTATTATGAGAATTTGTCAAGTTATCATTTGAAAAGTTATCAATTTGTTCACAAGCAAGTCTTCACTCCTGTCCCAGTTCCTCCGTCCTCCAGAGTAGGAGTGTACCTGGATCACAGCGCAGGTATTCTGTCCTTCTACAGCGTCTCTGAAACCATGACTCTCCTCCGCAGAGTCCAGACCACATTCACTGAACCTCTACATGCTGGACTGTGGTTCGGCTACTGTTTTGGAGACTCTGCTGAGTTTATAGAAGTGAACTAAAGAGAATTTTGAGTCCATCAGACCAAAATCATGGACTGAGATCCTTGAACTCTTGAAATGTTCTGGTTTGTAAATGTTTGTGGATCAGTCTCACCAAAAACTCTGGGTTTAGTTCTTCATTTCAACTTTTTCATTCTTTTCTAAAGATGCTGATTTGGTCGCAGCTTTAAGGACAGTGATTGTGGAGAACTTTGATTGTTTGTATTTCTCATGTTGAAAAATCTTCATACAGTTTGATATCAACAACATCAAGATGATGGTTTGTTCAAATCACCTTCAGTTGGTGCAGATGTTGAAGGTCTGAGACTTTAGAAAAAAGTGAGGTCAAAATCACAGAAAAAGGACGACCTTATTTCCTGTCCCAAATCCAAGCGTCTAAAGTCTTTCCAGTCGTCCCCAAAAACTCTTCAGATGATCTGTTTCTTTCTCTGTTTGCTGAATATTTGTGTTCATGTGATCGATGGATATTTCTGTCTGCTTCTGTTGGATCAGTGTGTTTGTAAAGACATCTAGAATCAGACTTTGGACAGATCTACATGTTGTTATGAGCTTTTCAATCACTCTAATAATAATAATCACATTTATTAGTCCGACTGTTTGGATGTTTCTGACTCAGCTCAGATTGTGGTCAAGTCTCTGATTGTGGGTAAAAAAGAATAAAAATCATCAAACTGAGTCACTGAAATCACCTCGTCTGTTTGTCTTTATTGTGTCTGTTTCTGCTGGAGCAGAGAGGGAGGGGAGAGGAGGAGCTGAGGGGAAAACTGGTTGGAGGGGTAGAGTTTACATTCAAGATTTCTCCTAAAAACTGGAACTAACTCAGATCCTGACTACAACACATTTAAGGCTGTGAGGTGAGTGAAAAGTTGGGATTTAGGATCAGATTTTTAAAAAAGAGTTTTTCAAATGATTTCCAAAGACAATTTTCTCCCTTTCAAAATAAAACTTCAACATAAACATTCATTTTTACTGTAGTAAAATGAAAAGGTAAAGGTGTTTTTATTGAGCCGAATTATCAATAAAATCATGATTTTGTTAACACGTATGGATTTATGTGCTGTTGAGTTAATATATTTGAACAAGAGCACAGTAAAGTTAAATCAGCTAATTTTCCAATGAGGTTCTGTTACCGAACGGAACTACACCATGTTCTACTGAGGTTAGTACATATAGGGTCACAGACATAGTACTAGACACCAAACATCTTTTTAACTTTGACTCATTTCTTTAGCAAAGAGACTAAACACAACTCACCTACTCTCTTCCAGCAGACACTTGTTTGTAGAGAGACCTCAGGCCAGTCCATTACAGACTACAGCGGGGTGCCGCAGCTCAAAGAAGAACATTTATGATCATTTCTTCATGGAAATACAATCAGACCGAGACGCTAAGACAGAAGAACTACCGCGTCTGTAAAATGATTAATATGGTGATTATTACTTCAAGGAAATGATAAAGAAATGATCATAAATGTTCTTCCTTGAGCTGTGGCACCCCACTGCACTCTGTGATTGACTCATCAGGGCTCACCAACAAACAAGCGGCCCTAAATTAATTTTACGCCGGAATATCCCTTTAAGACGGGACACTCTTTGACCCGCTGCTCTGTTCTCAGTCTTCAAATAAAACCTTGGAAAGCTCGGGACGAAGCTTACGCCGGGTTCTCGTCTTGCTATGTCCTCTTCCTGTTTGTGTCTTGGAAACCATGGCGACTGAATCCAGGTGTGATACTTCTGAGCTGAAGGGGGTGAATGATGGACGGTAGTTTAAGATGAAAAGAGTGAAGATGAGCATGAGACAGAGACCGGAGAACACGGGGAGACACACACACACACACACACACACACACACACCCTCCCTGTGTTTCATGTATTAGTCATGTCTGCTGGATGATGATTGGTCCTCCTCAGGTGTACGACAGGTAAATAATGGAAACTGTTTTTGGAGCGTCTTTGTCTCTGAACTCCACCTGAAGGCTTTTCAAATTAAAACTCCACCCGCTGCTCTCTCTCTCTCTCTCACACAGGCTCTCTGCCTCGCTCGCCCTCTTTATTTGTCTGTGTACCTGGAGGGTGATTCTGAAACAAACACAGTAAACACACCGGAGAACCTCAGACCCAGGACTACAGTCAGACCAGGTCCAGTCCAGACTCCTCAGACCTTCACGCTCATTATCAGCAGTTTCTCTCTGATCCAAAATAACAAACAGGAGGAACCAGGACTGCAGATCCAGGACAACGATCTGGACTAGGACCAGCTCTAAAACCCAGGGAGGTTTTATAGATTCAGGGTTTCAGTCCGACAAGAACACATCAGACACTTGAATCAAAAAGAGGAAATTCTTGTTTCAAAGAGACGTTAAAAAAAAGAATGAACATGAATATGAATAAAAGACTGTGGAGAATGAAGACGAGCTGTCAGACAGGTTATTAATGAGGAGAAGACCGACATGTTATTTCATTTTCATTTTGGTTTGATTGTCATTTCTTGGTTGACATCCACAGGAGGATTAAAGCAGTTTCTCGATGGACCATTTAAAGGACGTTTCTGTAAAATTGCACAGATATCAGAGACATGTGAGGGCGTTTGTATTTAGGAGGGAACTTTGGTTACGTTCACACTGCAGGTCAATTCCGATTTTAATCGCGTTCATCCGACCTATACGTCATCAATATGCGACAAACGTCACCATTGTTCGACAACTCAAACAGTGCCAGAAAGCAATGGTGGACGAGGGAACGGAGAACAGCCAGTTGTGTGCATGCGGGTCACTTCACGGACGCATTCTGTTCACATTAAGGTCCTTTCACACCGGGAGCATTTTTGTGGTACGATTATTTCAGACGTCAATATTTATTTTGAACTTGTATCCTGTCAATACAAGCGATATTGCGGCATTTATTTTTTCAGATCACGGTCGATTTTTCTAAAGTTTCACAGACTGTGTGTCCACTTCTGACCAATCAGATTTCATGTTGTTGCGACGTCAGATTCCCCGGTATATCCAACATGGCCGACCGTCTGATTGTTTCCGTGTCGGAGAACAGAGTGATTTTTGATAAAGACACAAACATTACAAAGATAACGACCTGAAGGACGTTGAAAGTCTTTGTTTGAACTTTCATCTGTGCTAACGTGAGCTAACGGTTGTTACCATAGTTACATGTGTTTATCTTATCGCCTCTGATTGGCTATAAGTGCTGACCGTTTGGCTTGAGTGTGTGATGACGTTCCCAGCTTTTCTAGCCAATAGAGGCTTCCCTGGGATGCATCTTTTTTCCCCCCGGAAAGTCACAAAATTGCATCAGGCTTGATGTGTATCGTCAGGCGCGTCAAAATTCGCCTCTGAATATTTCGTACTTTCATTCTATATTCACGTCGGTCCCGGTGTGTGAGGACCTTTAGACTCAACCTGAAGTTTTTATTCTTCAAAAGTGTTTCAATTATTATTATTATTATTATTGTTATTATTATAACAGGTTAGAGTCGGTCTGCTCAGGTCAGAGCTGCAGTAAGAATAATGAAGATCCAGATGTTTCCCTTTAATGCCTTAAAAACACAAATTATTTTCAGAAAATTCACTTTTTTTTGGAGCTGAAATGTTTTTATTTGACTTCCGACTGAAAAACAAAAAACTAAAAATTTATCATGTTTGAGACAATAAATGTTTTTGTGAACTGATAAACTCCAGGAGGACATTTTATTATTGATCAGACTGTATTCAGGTGTTTTTAGTCATTTATTGATCATATTGATGAGATAGAAGTTTATAAAAGTATCAAATATGATCGAAAAGACATTAAAGGGTTAAAGGAGGAAATATTTTAACACTCATCTGTGTGTGAGTCCTTTAAATCTGACCTCTGACCTCTGTGTTACAGTTCTACCCCCCCGAAGAACATCAGGAGAGAAAGAACAGCAGCTTCAGTCTCTCTTCATACTGAGCTGCAGGAGCTGCTGATGACCACCAGGGGGGCAGACAGTCTGAGTATTACACACACACACACACAGTGAGAGTTTCAGGGTTCAGACCTGGTTTGAGGTTCAGGTGGGACCAGGTCTGGGTTAGAAGTAGAGTCTGACTTGTTTCAGGTCTGGACCTTCAGAAGAGTCTTTAGAGGTCTACAGAGTCTACAGAGATCCTTCAGGGGTCTACAGAGGTCTACAGAGGTCCTGCAGAGGTCTACAGAGTCTTCAGAGGTCTACAGAGATCCTTCAGGGGTCTACAGAGATCCTTCAGAGGTCTACAGAGGTCTATAGATCCTGCAGAGGTCTACAGAGGTCTAAAGCAGAGGTCTACAGAGATCCTTCAGAGGTCTACAGAGGTCTACAGAGATCCTGTGGAGGTCTTCAGAGGTCCAGGGTTTCCTGTCTTTTGTTGTGGTTCTGTTCATGTAAAGTCTGACTAAGTGGTCCTGGTCCTGGTTTTCAGTCTGGTCTGGGGTACAGCAGCAGGAGACCCTCTGACATAGAAACTCTGCCCCCCCGCCTTCTCACCTGCGACCTCACGTGTTAAAGAGGTGTCACCCCTCCACGCCGCCGCCCGCCCGCCCGCTGGCGTTGCTTTGATAACACCCTGCGTCCCTGTCAGACACAGCGGAGGGCTAATTAACCCTCCTGATTACTCCAATTAACCCCGACACATTAGAGCTCACAGTCACAGCTGAGCGATGACTTCTCCTACAGACCCTGAACTCAACGCCGCCGACACCTCAGAGTCTCTGCACACCGCCAACCAGACAGGAAGTGATGTCAGAGCTGAGGTACCAACCTTCTACGGTCAAAGACCCGAGCTCAGAACGTCCAAAGACCGCGGTTCTGATTCTACAAACACAACAACCGGGGTCACTGTGGGCCACGGCCGAGTCTGCTGCTCAGGGTCAAAGGTGTGTGTGTGTGTGTCTGTGTGTGTGTGTGTGTGTCTGTGTGTGTGTGTGTGTGAGTGTGTGTGTGTGTGTGTGTGTGTGTGAAGGAAACAGGAGCAGCCTTCAGAAGTTTCCAGATGATTCTTTTAATGAGATTATAAGGAGGTCTGAGATGAGGCTGTGGGGGGTCCTGTAGTCTCAGACGACTCTCAGGATTATTTTAATCCTGTTTCATCGTCACTCAGAAGGTCGAGATGATTTCAGCCCGTCTGGGTCTGAAATGGGATTAATCCGCCGTGGTTATGATCGTGTTCTGTCCGGTTAGGAGACGATGTTCTGGAGTCTGTGATGAAGACTCTGAATGATGAAGGTCAGGACTAGAAACACTCAGTCTGACTGGTTCTGACCCGTCCAGCTCTGGTTTTATCAGAGTCCGTCAAAGAGAAACGGTTCAGAGGGTTATCAGAGATACCACCCACCCACACACACACACACACACACACACACACACACACACACACACACACACACGTATGTTAAAGTCACAGCACAGTGTGTGTCAGCGCTGTGATTTTCTCACCTGATCTAAATCTCAGAGCTGCTGACGATGGCGCCGTCAGCAGCTCCTGACTGAAGCTGATGGTCTGAGCAGATGAAGCTCAACATGAACTTTTTTTACAAGGAGCACAAAGAACTTTAGGGGATCAATGAAAACTGATCAATAATGTTTGTCTTATTGATCGACCTTAGTACTATTATTAGAAATCAATTTTAGGTCTTTTGGTCACATGACAGTGAAGCTATTGAAGGAAAACAGCCTTTTCTGAGAACATCAACCGGTAATTTATTGACGGTCCCTTATTCAACACCGACGTTGACAGTGAGGGTGTCGAGTAGATTTAACCGCGCTGCTGTTGTTATTCCCGGTTATGGAGAGTGAGAAGACACCGGTAGATCCTCAGAGAATGTCCGTCAGATATCCAACCTGAAACTAACTTCACCGCCGTATTTACAGGAAAATATATCCAACCTGAAACTAACTTCACCGCCGTATTTACAGGAAAATATATCCAACCTGAAACTAACTTCACCGCCGTATTTACAGGAAAATATATCCAACCTGAAACTAACTTCACCGCCGTATTTACAGGAAAATATATCCAACCTAAAACTAACTTCACCGCCATATTTACAGGAAAATATATCCAACCTAAAACTAACTTCACCGCCGTATTTACAGGAAAATATATCCAACCTAAAACTAACTTCACCGCCGTATTTACAGGAAAATATATCCAACCTGAAACTAACTTCACCGCCGTATTTACAGGAAAATATATCCAACCTAAAACTAACTTCACCGCCGTATTTACAGGAAAATATATCCAACCTGAAACTAACTTCACCGCCGTATTTACAGGAAAAAACATTTGTTGATTTTTTTATGAGCACATCTGACCCTAAATAGATTTTATAATTCACACACATGTATTTTTAGAAACAGATGTGAGTTCAAAATGTAAACGGCAGAGAAGAATAACTGAACCTGAAACAAGAACGCCAAGATCTACGGAGGAGCGAAACCTTCGCAGTTGGAGGATTTAAAAGTCCACTAAGAGGGGGTGAGGATGAAGGAGGTGAGGACGAAGGAAGTGAAAAGAGGGGAGACCTCTGAGGGGACAGGTTTTCGTCCTAACAGAGTCTCTCAGCGAGGAGGACTCGGTCTCTGGTTTGGTTCTTTCAAACACTCTGATGAAGAAGACTTGGCGAATGTGTTTGGAGGTGATTAAGGGGGCGTCGGCCTGTAGGGAGTTTGTGTTGGCGGCGATTAGACGGACAGAGGATCATCTGAGGCGAGGCCCGGCGGTGTGGAGGGTCTAAAGTCAGAAGAAAAGCTTTCGAACTTTAATATCTTTGGTTGTGAGTGAGGCAGGGGAGTGGCGGGGGAGCGGCGGGTCACAGCAGCTCTTTGTGTTCCTGTTTACTTTTGACTCGAACCCTTCGTCGGTTCGAGTGGCGCTGATATCTGCCAGACTCAGGGAGCGGCCGGGACTCTCCCGCTCCCTCCTCACTCATCAGCTGCCGGGAAGATTCAGGAATGGCCTGGCGGGCGTCCACACTGCCCACACAGCGTCTTCCCGGCTGGTTTAAACACACTGCGCTGTATTGTCCGACGGCCCGGGCGCGGCGCTGCGACGTGGGTGTCAGGGAAACGCCGAGCTCAGGCTCCGTCCTGAGTGAAGTCTGCAGAGAGTTTGAAGATCCTCTTTGAGAGGAAGTTCATACAGTCCAGGGCCGCACCCCCACGCTCTTAAGGTCACTCTTAAGGTCGCTGACTCAAACCCGTGTCGACATCTTCAGTGTGTATTCAAAGACTTAAACACGGGCTCTTTTCTCCCTCAGTTCTGACTGACAGGCTGCTTGTCTCTCTGACCCGGTTTCTCTTTATTTCTTTACACTTTCTTTTCCATCTGAAGGTTTGGATCAGATGTGAGGTCTGTTCTCACCTCCTCAGCAGCAGCAGCAGCAGCAGCAGCAGCAGCAGCAGCGCGCCGTCTCTCCGCCTGTTAATCTGTTTGCACATTTGCTGCGCTAACAATGTGTTGACAACACGCTGACATCACCCAGATGTCAGAGGCATCTGCCTTCTGCAGCCGAGCGAATCAAATCTCTCTCATTGTTCGTCCTGCTGCTTCACCTCCAATACACACACACAGGCGCGCGCGCACACACACACACACACACACACACACACACACACACACACACACACACACACACACACAGGCGCGCGCACGCACGCACACACACACACACACACACACACACACACACACACACACCGAGCCTTTCTGAATCCAGAAACAGACCCTCCTCCCCTCCTCTCCAAACTGGCAGGCTGAGGTTTTACTTTGAAAAGCTTCCTGGTGTTTTATTTTGACGGGGTGTGCACACGCAGTCGTTACTCTATCTGACATCAGGTCGCTTTCACTGAGTTCACACATTTTTTTAAAACCTCGTGAAAACTTATTTTCCAGCTGAGCTTCACGTGTGAACACGACCCAGCCCCGTTTTTACCCTTTTTGCTGCGACCTGTCAACATCCCCTTTAAATGAGGAGACAGATATTCTGCAGTGAAATCTACATACCTCACTGTTTAAAGGTATATTTATATATCATATTATTTAAAGGTAAATTTACATACCTCACTTTTTAAAGGTATATTTATAAATCGTATTATTTCAAAGGCTTTTCTGTATTTCTTATCATTTAAAGGTAAATTTACATATCATATGGTTTAAAGGTGTATTTCTAAACCTTATTAATTAATGGTATATTTATATACCTTTAAACAATGAGGCATATAAATATACTTCATTAATAACGGTATATTTACAAACCCTACTGTTTAAAGGTATATTTACATATCTTATAATTTAAAGGTTTATTTATTTATCTCATTGTTTAAAGGTAATTTTATTACCTCATTATTTAAAGCTATATACCTCATTTATTAAAGGTATATCTACATACCTTATTATTAAAGGTATATACCTCCTTATTTAAAGGTACATTTATATACCTCATTTATTAAAGGTGTATACATCTTATTGTTTAAAGGTATATTTATGTAGCTCATTATTTAAGGATATGTTTATATACCTCTTTTATTAAAGGTATATACCTCCTTATTTAAAGGTACATTTATAAACCTCATTTATTAAAGGTGTATATATCTTTTTGTTTAAAGGTATATTTATGTACCTCATTATTTAATGATATGTTTATATACCTCTTTTATTAAAAGGTATATACCTCCTTATTTAAAGGTAAATGTAGTTGTTGTCTGAGCAGGACCAGCCCAGCTGACTCCCGCCTCTCTCGGTCTCAGTCTCAGCTAACATGACCCAGCTTCAGGACTGACTCTGACTCAGAGGGAAGATGACTGCCTCTCCTGTTCTGTGATTCTGTGACGGTGTGGGAGGACTCGGTTCAGGTCCATGTGAACAGTTCCTGGTCCTGACTCAGACGATCTGAAGTAAATCAGTGAAACATGTTCCTGATGATCTGTGTTTAATGAAAGTCTCCGTGTTGAAGGGCGTCTGTGTAATTAATGAAGCCGAGTTCAGGAGGCTCAGCGCTGATGTGGGAACGAAGCCGGAGGTAATCCTTGTTTAATGTTTGGATTTTCTTAATGACAGAGGCAGTCCCTGCTAATGAACCTGCGAGCTCTCCGTCTGCTCGTCAGCTCCACTTTCTGCAGTTTGGGGTCAGCCGGAAAGATTCCCATCCAGACGACCTGAGCGGGTTTTAGTATTCACGTCACAGACACAGAAATCCTCCTCAGAGTGAGACCTCGCCGCTCGCTCTGTAAATGTGAGTTCATGTCAGGCGCTGACTGGAATTCAGATTCGCTCTGCTGCTAAATGAGGGTCAAATTAGGAGTTCGACTTCCTGTTAGAGGCTCTCAGACTTCACTCCGCCTCCTCACTTCAGTGTTTCTGACAGTTCCTGAGTTTTTTATCCATCCAGTAAATCTGTGCGGGATTTTAATAAAGATCAAATAAAGATAAAAAAGGCAGCAGTATCCTGGAATATCCTGACTGTGAAAAACAAAAACAAGTGCCTACATCTCCCATCATGCAATGGATACTACTGTTACATTAAAACCCCCGCCGCATCTCCTAACAATTATACAATAAGAAGTTATTAAAACATAGAATTCCACCTGACCACGTCGAATACTAGAGCAGGCAGAGCAGCAGCAAAGACCTCTGGGAGACAGAGCAGCAAAGACCTCTGGGAGACACAGCAGCAAAGACCCCTGGGAGACAGAGCAGCAAAGACCTCTGGGAGATAGAGCAGCAAAGACCTCTGGGAGACAGAGCAGCAAAGACCTCTGGGAGACAGAGCAGCAAAGACCTCTGGGAGACAGAGCAGCAAAGACCTCTGGGAGACAGAGCAGCAAAGACCTCTGGGAGATAGAGCAGCAAAGACCTCTGGGAGATAGAGCAGCAAAGACCCCTGGGAGACAGAGCAGCAAAGACCCCTGGGAGATAGAGCAGCAAAGACCTCTGGGAGACAGAGCAGCAAAGACCTCTGGGAGACAGAGCAGCAAAGACCCCTGGGAGATAGAGCAGCAAAGACCTCTGGGAGACAGAGCAGCAAAGACCTCTGGGAGATAGAGCAGCAAAGACCTCTGGGAGACAGAGCAGCAAAGACCCCTGGGAGACAGAGCAGCAAAGACCTCTGGGAGGTAGAGCAGCAGCAATTAAAACACCCAGATTATGTGATTGGAATTTGATTTTCTCTACCATGTAACCAGCGTAGTCGGAGTATGATCGGACAATGAGCCACGCCCCCGTAACCCCGTAACAAACCCCCAGAGTAGAGGAGTAGCGTTGGTCTCATCTTTAGAAAAAGTAGCGCGTCCATCATGTCGGACAAAAACAACCCTGTACGATGCTCCATCTTCTTGTTTCTCCAAAATGCCCAGCAGCAGTTGTAGACACTTCTGACGTCTGACACCGACCTGCTGTTGTTGTTGACGGTTGGATGGGGTCGGAAACAGCGCCGCTGAAAAGACCCATATCGCCCCCTAGTGTTGGGGAGGAGGACACGTTCACGTCAATAATTCAGTTTTCTCAGTTGCATGTAAACGAGGACGAGGAGAGAAGTCTGATTCAGAGAAAAAGACGAATTATGAGCTTGATTCGATTAAACTGTGACTGTAAACGACCTGAGTGAGGATGGAGACTTCAGGGGGTGAACTTTGAACTTTGGTGTCGTGCTGAGTTCATGAAGCTCATGCTGGGCCCTCCAGTTTTACTGATACAGGACTTTAAAGAGACTGAAGGCCTACACAGCCTACTCTGTCGGCTTGCTTCCTTCAGTCTGAATATCAGACTCCAGTTTTTCCTCTGTCCCCGTTCATGGATCTGTTCCTGTCAGCAGGTCCAGGGTGAACCTGGTCCTCGCTCTCTGCTGTAAACTCTGACAGTTTTCAGATGAGGAGTTTGTGTCTCAAACTTCTGCAGATGAAATGGACTCTGCAGAACTTCCTAACTGCTGCTGAAGTGGAGACGAAGCGAGAACCTGACTCCACTTCATGTCAGCGTGAATATTCATGTTTTCTTCCCGGAAATAGTTTCGGCGGCGGCGGCGCGGCAGCAGCAGTTGTTGATTGTTCTTCTGTGTCTCGTTCTCTCTCACATAACGACGCTGAAGTCTCCGCTCTCTCCTGCACGATAATTACATCTTATTTTGAAATGTATATCCGCACTACTGCCGCCGCCGCCGCTGCTGGAGGATCCCGCTGTTGGTTTTAATTGTGAGGAAACACACATGAAGATTTTAAGAAAGTGCGCCGACCAGATGTGACGGAGGAGAGCGAGCCAGAAAGAGAGCGAGCGAGCGGTGATTTGCATTTCATTTTCAGGCGGCCGGCAGATCCTCACAGCGGAGCCGTTTGGAGAAGCAGCGATGAAGACGCTGTTAGTGGGTGGAGGTATTTCCTGGATGCTGACGGAGAAGGTGAGTGTGTGTTTGTGAACAGGGGTGTATAAATGACTCCTCCTACAGTAATTAGCACCGGAGGTTGTAATTGGGCAGAATCAGTCTTACTAAGTGATTTCCTGACTGTCAAACGAGCCAAATTAATTTGAGTGATACTTTTCATTTAGTTAGCATCAAACGGCCCCTCCACTCGGCCTCCATATGGGCGTCTGATGCAACGCCCGCCATTAAACCGCCGCAGCCAGATGTTCCCCTGCAGCCCGCCATTATCAATGCAAATTTATTCATTAAACAATTTAATTGTGTCAATGATTGACAGGCGGCGGCGTGATGACGGAGGAATGTTGGGAAGCTAATAATCTGTTAGTCTTATTAACTCTCTGTGTCAGCAATATGGCTGTCAACATTTATGTGGATTAACCCCTCTAATGTCACACACACACTCACACACACACACACATCAGCTGCTCGCCATGACAACAGAAGGACTGACTGGTTGGTCGGCACGCCTCGATGTTCACAAAACACACGACCAACTACATCATCATCATGAAACAAGAGAGAGAGAAACACACACTGATACACACACACACACACACACACACACACACACACACACACACACACACACACACACACACACACACACACACACACACGCCTGTCAGCATGTTCAGGGTGTTAAAGTTCGGCTCTGATCCCTTTAACAGTCCATTTTAATTCAGCGTTTGTAGAAAGTCTTGGTTGTTTTCAGTCATGTTTAGTCAGTTGTAGTATTTAGTCGTTTTGGTGGTTGTAGTGTTTTGTTTTGTTTTTTTTAGTCATTTTTGGTGGTTTTTGGTGGTCATGGGTTAGGGTTGAGATCAGGGGTCACAGGTTATTCTGTTCCAGATTTTCTCAGTTCTCAGTTTAAACACTTTAAGACAGTTTTGTGATCCTTTTATGAAGACAGAGTGAATTTACCTCACTGTGTTTGGTCAGAGCCGGCCCAGACATATGCAAACTAAGCGCCCGCTTAGGGCCCTGTGGCCAGTAGGGGGCCCCCAAGAGCAATCCAAAAAATTTTTTTTTAATATTTTTTATATTTTTCATGTATTGAGTGATGCTTTCTGTCTGATCAAATATAGATTATTGTTAAAATAAAATAAAGTAAAAACATTTTAGTGCTGCTGCTGATGTAGGTCTATGATTCTTCCTGCTGATATGTCAAAGCTCCGCCCACCGTGATGTTCCTCCTGCTGTGAAATGGTCACTGAGCATCTAAAGAGCAGGTAACAATGTCGCAATAAAGGAGATATCCTTCAGGAGCCGAGAAAAGAAAGAGGAAGAGGAGGAAAACACGCCAAAATAAAGGTCTGTTTGCATGTCAGGGAAGGTTAATCAAAGAGATTTGTGAAGGTGTGTGAATGATCAGTAATCAGTGAGGCTTCTAACAAACCAAACAGCTTAGAAATCATGTGTAACTTCAGTTATGTTGACTCTAAAGAGCATTTCTGCCTCTTTAACTGATGTAAAATTATTGGGTCAACTTTGTTACTTTGGTCTCACTCACAGCGAGTCTGTTAGCCAAGTTAGACAGCTGATAAACACAAGAACATCCACAAAGACTGACACTTAGACTGAATAAATAAAAAATAGACATACGAGAAATTAAAATCTGGATTGTGGTCTCAGCCTGACTCAAAGTTAGCCACTGCGCGCTAATAGCCATGAAACAACTGTTCTTCATGATTAAGTCTTTTTTTTCTCAAAGTAAGTCTGTCATTTTAATCTGTCCAAACATCCCAACTCAGAGCCACGTTATTAATGTCTGAAATAAACTAAACCGTTTATAAATCTGTCAACATTTCAGCGAGTTAAGAGGATTTTTGATCAGATTACTCACCTCCCGTCAGCTACCAAGATGGCCGCCGTGTAGGGACGCCGCTGAGTCCGCCTCATAGAGTCATCTAGCCTTTCTGATAGATATCTATGGTTAGGATTAGGATTAGGATTTGGGTCAGGAGATGTAGAATTGTGATAATGTTCTGGAATGTTCTGGTCGATGTACCGAGCCGACAGCCCGCGCTCGGTTTGAGCGCGTGATGACGTTTCATAGCCAATCAGAGGTGAAGGAGGCGGGACCTTCCCCTGCCATTCTACGAAAAAAAGATGTCGCGGCCCGCGCGTCGTTCTTCCGGTCTCTTTATCTCAGCCACGGAAGTGAGAGCAGCTAACTGCTAACAGACAGAGAAAGGAGGAGAAAAACTGAGTTAATCTGTAGAAAAGAGGGGAGAAAACCACCGCACATACCTACAGGAAGTCCGGAGCCGAGTGAGTACACGAAGGAGACGAGTCACGACGGTAAGAGGAGGTTTTTATCCGGAGAAAAAACTTGTTCGTCCATGCTAATGCTAACAGGCTAACCTCCATCTTCTTTAAATCCAGAGTAACGTGAGAAACAGGAACATGTGTCTGTTTATCTGCTCTGATTCTGTTTCTCTGATAATTCTCAGTGAGCTGACAGACAGCTGTGGGGATATTAAAGGTTATGAGAGTGAACTGAAGTGAATTATAGTCCAATATTTTAAACATGTTTGTATTATTTTACACTGATGTATGAAAGTAAAAGGGAGGTTTGTTTATTTTTCTAATGCCAATGTAAAGGGAAAAGAAAGTAATTTGATGAATCATGATGAGAGTGAAATAATACTTTATTTTGTTAATATGTAAACTACTGAAGGCATTAATTTAAACTGTGAGTTTAAAGTTACTTAGAGGGTGATTTTTGGTGTGTTTCTCTCATAAAACTAGTTCAATATGTGTAATTTCTGTGTTATTTTAACATTATTTTTACATGGTTATGATACATATGTTTGAATGTAAATGGTTACCTACCGTAAATATTATTGAAGTAATGTTGACATGAACAGATGAATATGTGATCACTTTAATAGTTAGTTTTCATCTTTAATACACTAGAACACTAAATGTTGTATAACTAAAAACTGAAGCTTTGAGATTTGATTATATTGAAGATTAACAATATTGATTTTTGACATTTAAACCTTCAATCATGTATCTGAGATTAGAGTGTAAATTATATGACCTTGTGTGTAGGTCAGGGTTTTTTTTTGAGAGGACGAGGAAAACTCGAGGACCAGGACGAGTTTCTGATCGTGACAGATGGTGAGTTAACCACACACACACACACACACACACACACACACACACATTCACACTACACTCCATGGACCTTTTAAAATCAGGTGCACCTGCAACAACTCTTACTTCATAAGGGCCCCAACGGACACTTTTATTTCATTTAAGTGTGCAGACTCTGTCATTTTATTTCCAGTCATTTGGGTTCTTCATGTTTGTTTTATACAACTTGACCATTTCTTCTCATTCACTGTAAAAATACAAGAGTGGCGACTCAGCAGTTACTCTAGTGCACATGTGTCAAACTCGAGGCCCGCGGGCCCGTGATGTAATTATCTTAATATCTGATCACTTGTAGAGCGCAGCTAATACACTACAAATCCCACAATGCCCTGCCAACGTGTTCGCGCGTTATTCGAGAGTCGTCATTATAAAACAGTTCAGCGCATCAGCGTGAGCGAAAGAAAAGGGAGAAATATTTGTGACTGATAATTTTGTTGAGGAGAAATACTTCAGATAAATGAATATA